ATTCCCCCAGCTCCCTGGCTCATTCCCCCAGCTCCTGGCTCATTCCCCCATCCCTCTCTCATGCCCCAAGATCCCCAGCTCATTCCCCCAGCCCCCATATCACTCCCCCAGCTCCCCAACTTGTTCCCCCAGCTTCCTGCTCACTCCCTTGCCAGGTCCCAACCTTTGCCCCCGCCCCCCACCCCCACACAGTCCACACTCACCGGTAGTACCAGTGGCAATCAGAGATCTCAGAGCCTTGTGGCAGAGCCTCACCATGTTGCCCAGGGCAGTGGGGGGCAGCAGGGCTCAGACCTGGCACCTGTGCTGCCACATTGCAGCTTGGCAGCAGGCTGTGCAGTGCTGTGTGCTGTTGGGCAGCTCAGGGCCACTGGGGCTTAGTGCTGCCAGCCCCAAGTGACAGCGAGAGTGGCCCCAAGCTGCCAGACAGCACTCAGTACTGTTAGGGTGACAGTATTTGGATCTTGGGGAGCATTGGATTGCAGCTAAATAAAAGGCTGTTGCCTGTGGCCTAGTAGAGCTGCTAACCACTAGGCAGAATGATATATTAAAAGTAACATTGCAAGCATTTTCCTAATAATGTGGTAGTTTGCAGGACACATGATTCATTCTGTAAAAGGGAACAGGATGCAGCCCACCAACTATCGTTAGGAGATGACCAGAAGCAAGACCTTGGAGATGGTATAACTTGGGACTGAAAAAGAGACTGGAACATGAAAGACAACATGTAACTGGTAACAGAATCCGAAATAAACATATACAAAAAGGTGAATGGTAATTGGTGAAGAAGCCTCCAGAAGCTTCCGAGTTTTGGTCAAAGTCTGCCCAGTGACCAAAGAAGCCGGAGTCAAGGTCTTAGACATGCGCTCATAGAAAAAAGACATGTAAAGAAGTGAAATGCATAGGCAATTTCATGCTAATGAAACAAGCTGTAAACAGAGGTGGAGCTTGAAATAGGAGGGAATATGGGTGGGATAAAGATGGAGTAAATATTAATGAGTATGATCTAAGGTGTATAAAATGTGGAAAGAACTAATGTTCACGGTGGCTCCTCAGTTTTTTGGGAGCTAGTCCGAAGCTATCTCCATTTTGAATAAAGCTGTTCATAGATTCATAGATGTTAGGGTTGGAAGGGACCTCAATAGATCATCGAGTCCGACCCCCTCCATAGGCAGAAAAGTGTGCTGGGTTCAGATGACCCCAGCCAGATGCCTATCCAACCTCCTCTTGAAGACCCCCAAGGTAGGGGAGAGCACCACCTCCCTTGGGAGCCCATTCCAGTTTTTTGCCACTCTAACTGTGAAGAAGTTCTTCCTAATGTCCAGTCTAAATCTGTTCTCTGCTAGCTTATGGTCATTATTTCTTGTAACCCCCAGGGGCACCTTGGTGAGTACAGCCTCACCAATTCCCTTCTGCCCCCCCATGATGAATATAAATTCTATAAAGGCAGCCACAAGGTCGCCTCTCAACCTTCTCTTGTGGAGGGTGAAGAGGTCCAGGTGCCCTAATCTCTCCTCGTAGGGTCTGGCCTGCAAGCCCTGAACCATATGAGTGGCCCTTC